TATTTTGATGAATTTGCCTATTCGTTGGCAAAATATAAATTAAAATGTACCATAGCTGCTTTTATTTAAAAAAAAGACAGTTTCTTTTTGAAGTAACTCTGACGTCATCAATATCATTTCTTTTCTTAGCACCCCCACATATTGGTCTAGCCCCCCCTTAGCACCGGTAGAGAAAAAATTCTGGCGCCGTGCCTGCTTATAAAATGATCTCCATTCTGGTTTATCATCATCAGACAATTTTAAAACATTACCCCATGGTGTATCAACCCTCTTGTCAAGCACCTTTTTGTTAAAAACCAAAACACAAGGTCTATAAAGAGATTTACTGGTACTTGGAAAAAAAAAATTAACACCTATTTTCCACTATTTAAAAACATTCCTGAAACATCATCCAAAACAGGTAAAAGAAAAAAATCTGATAAAACATCTTTTTCATTAGGAACATTTTTACTGTTACAGTAATCTGATAAAAGTTTCAGTTCAGCAGAAGTGAGTCTTTTTTCTATTTTTTGTAGTAAATGAAAAACAAATCGTCTTGACTTAATTTTCAAACTTAAAACAACTCTTTCCGTGTTCTCAAAGTCTGGTCCAGTCAAGTGAACTACACTCCCCATAATGGGCCGTTTCTAGGCATAGGCGAGCTAGGCGGTCGCCTAGGGGCGCCACCAGCTGAAGGGGTGCCAATGAGCGCACGTACTGGCACTTTTAGCAGGGTTGTGATAAAGAGTGGCATGGTCACCCTGAAATATGACTGCTATTAAGTAGCTGCATTGGTTACTTTTCTGCCACTGATAAAGCTTTTATATGTAGTTTGGGGTAACAAAGGGGTTTTATAGGTTTGACTGAAATAATAATGCAATAACTGACACTTTAAATCAATGTTTCAAGAAACAACGACAAAAAAATTGAACAAAAAAACAGATAAAGACAAAAAAGTAGCTATTGATAATATCTAAACAATATGTAGTAGTATAATATATAGTATCCAAATCAAAATGTAATAAAATTAATTTGTGTAAATTATGTGCAATGTCTTAGCCACTAGGGATTGTTACATAGGGCTATACAGGCATCTAGTGGCAACACAATGATATTACAGATACGAAATTGTGCAAAATGTTTCTTAACAGTCAATTGTGGAACTCAATGCACTGAATCTCCACAAATTAGTGTAAATAGTGTATTAGTATAAATAATTGGGGGGGGGAGGGGGGCAATAGGGATTTCGCCTAGGGCGTCAAATTGGCTAGAAACGGCCCTGTCCCCATTGTACATATTTTGGAAGCCACAAGTTTTTCTGTAAATCCAGGACTATTACAGTCATCATTTGTTAAATCAAAGTGTGCTCCAGCGGTTCTTCAAGGAGCCAGTAGAGACAGAAAATGATCTTCTCTTTGCACTTTGAACACATTCCACACTTCCGATAAAAATAGGCATCCCATTGAAATTCAGCTTCGAGAAGTCCATAAAAAAAAATTGTCCATTTTCAAATTTCCAAGTTTTTGTAATATTTTACATGCAACTACTTTCCAGCTGGACGTTACTCAACCATTAAGAAGTCTTTGGCAAAAACTGTAAACGAAAAGCTGCTGTTCTAATCCTTGTCGTCCTCCTTCTTTGGGTAAAAACAATAGCCTACACTCGGAGGAACCCAATGTAACTTATCCCAGAAAAAAAATCAACTAAAATGACTTGAATCTCTGCTAACAGACACAGAGGAGGATCTCTGCAGGTTAACTTATGCTACTAAATTTTTCATAACTAAGGTTCGACCTCTATATGACATATTTGGGATTAACCGCTCCCAGATAGCACATGTACGTCTGCAAGATGTCTGTTAGAGATCTCTTGATCTGGAAAGCATTTGCTTTGGACAAACATCTAACAGACGTCTTTCAGATGTCAGTTTTACATA